GCCATTCTTCCTCTTTGACCTAGCGCTGGTCTGGTTGATCTATCGTCACCAAAGACAAGGCCTTATTATTAGAGTTTTAAGAATGACTCTGGTTGATGGTAAAGCACCGGGAGGGGTGGGTTGGGTTACACTCGCCAATGGCGCTCCCGTCGTGTGTCCCTTGCTCCCTGTCCCTCGCTTCACGTCTGGCTCTTCCTGGAAGGTGCATGAGACGGCAGATTGCGATTGCTGACCCTGATAAAGCTGTTGTTTTTTTCCAATCAGCTCCCAGGAATCGAGGCCCAGTCGCTTGACATTCAAATCATTGCGACTCGGTTGGATCGGGCGGGTCGGATCGGTTCGCGGACAAACTGACTGATCGTTGCAACCCTTCATCGATCGCGCCTTGGGCAGGATCGAGTAGCAATCCGATCAACGATATTGCGACACATGGCGAGCGTATGAAGCAATTCGGCAGTACAACTTGCGCTTAACGCAAGCATCACTGGGTGGTTTGCGCAGCGTGGATGTCATTTGACGTGATGCGGCACTCGGTCAAGAATGACCCGAGCAATCGAGTGCCGACAAGACTTGCGTTTCGTGTGCCTCGACAGCCGGGAGACTGGTTTGATGTAGCTCGAGACTCGTAGATCGTTTGACCTTGCGTCCAGTGTAAATGATAGCCTCGTAGCCTCGCATTCTAGACACCTTCCAGCCCCCGACCTCGCCTCAAGCGAACAAAAGATCTCTCAGATCGCGGATCAACCAACGCGTCACGAATCCACGGGACGACGCTGCAAGGAGATTTCTAAGCGAATGCGTCACTCCTGTTGGCCGGCAGCTTGTCCGCGGTGTTTTGGCCGTCCCACCACTTTGTGTGGACGAGGTTTGCTCTTTCCAGCCGAGCGAACCAGCGGCCGCCTGGAGTCGATCACGTAATCACGCAGCTCCATTACCCCTCATCGCGTCTCGACATTTTGGCGGGGCAGCTGCAGCTTCAAGCAATGACGTGCTGTATGGCACCTCTTTGGTTTGGCTTCGTTGCTGTGGCAGAACAGCACCTCATACCTAGGGCTATGGGGAAATCTCGACGGCCCTCATAAACCCCTCTCCCCTCCTTTGAGTCCCTGCTCTTCTTTTCCTCCCATCTTCTCCCCAAACCCCAGCACCATCCACCACAATGTCTCTCGGCAAAACTAGCACCCTCAGCTCCGGCCACACCATCCCAACTCTTGGGTTCGGCACCTGGCAGTCTGCCCCTGGTGAGGTCGGCAATGCTGTCTACGAGGCTCTCAAGGCCGGTTACCGCCACCTTGATCTCGCCAAGATCTACCAGAACCAGCGCGAAGTCGCCCAGGGCATCAAGAAGGCCTTTGCCGAAGTCCCTGGCCTGAAGCGCGAGGACATCTTTATCACCTCCAAGCTCTGGAACAACAGCCACAAGCCTGAGCTCGTCGAGGCTGCCCTTGACGACACTCTGGCCGAGCTCGAGCTCGACTACCTCGACGTATGACCCTCGATCCGAACCCCCCCCCATTCTTTGGCGGAACACCAGCCTGCGATACCCGACCGAGAGATAATATCTAACAACAACCTTTCTATAGCTCTACCTGATCCATTGGCCCGTTGCCTTCAAGTCTGGCCCCGAGCTGAACCCTCGTGTCGCTGGCAAGGACAAGGAAGCCGAGATCGACGACAATGTTGGCCTGATCCGAACCTGGAAGGGTATGTTTGACCAACATATTTGCTCATCTACGCGCGTACTTACAAAACAACAGCTGTGACCCAACTGCCCAAGTCCAAGGTCCGATCCATCGGAGTTTCCAACTTCACAATTGAGCACGTAAGTCCACTTATGTTACCTTCATTTGTCTGCGCACTCGGGTCTAACGCTCGTCTGCCAGCTCGATGCCATCATCGCCGACTCCGGTGTTGTTCCCGCCGTCCACCAGATCGAGCGACACCCCCGCTTCCAGCAGGAAGAGCACGTCGAGTACGGCAAGAAGAAGAACATCCACATCACCGCCTACTCGGCCTTTGGAAACAACGGCGTCGGCGAGCCCCTCCTCATCACCCACCCCGACATCGTCGCTACGGCCGAGCGTCTCTCCAAGAAGCTTGGCAAGACCGTCACTGGCGCCCAAGTCATTCTCGCCTGGGCCCAGATCGGCGGCAACAGTGTCATCCCCAAGTCCGTCACTGCCTCGCGCATCCAGTCCAACTTCCAGGAGATTGAGCTCGACGACGAGGCCGTCGCGGCCGTCAAGAAGGTTGGCGAGGACAAGAGACGCTTCAACATTCCATACACATGTAAGTTTTGTTTTTTCCCTGCTCGGCAATGGTTGAGTAGCTGACAGGTGGATGTAGACACCGACCCCCACTGGGACATCAACATCTACGGTGAGGAGGTTGAGAAGCCCGCCACCCACAAGCCCGTCGTTCGTGTATAAGGCGATATATGCTGGAAAAACGATCTGAGGGAAAGGAAAAAAAAAAGAAAAGGAATGCAAAATGAAAGATATGGCCTGGAGTCTGCTGAAATGACTGGAGGAGGCCATTCTGGTATGGCATGGACTATAAACAGGGTCAATAATCTTAATATCTTTCCTTCAACTCCCTCTTCCCTATCCAGTGTGACAAACTTGCCCTCGACTTGAGGTCCTCGTACCTATGGAGCTCTACCGGTTCTTTGCCCGCCATTTGACCTCATTTTATGATCTCCTACTTCTTCTACGAAGACGCTACCGGAAGTTTGTCCTGTGCTAGCCACTTGGGCACTAAAAGGACTCCCACCAACCATCGGCTGCCTCGCCCATGCCAAACACGGGCTACGCTGCAGTTTGGAATTACATCATACCTGCGCGACCGTGATGAGGGGGTAGATGTTTAGACACGACAGAAACCGGGATTTGTTTTAAAGCATTGTGTTAATTGTAGCATCTATGATCAATTCGGGTATGCACGATGCCTGACCGGGAACTCGTGCACACTGCATATACCGGATACCCGAGCCCTCAATAGCCTATCCTCGACCGCGCGCGTACAGGTATATAGCTGGAGCAAGACACCAGTTGGTTAGCAATATAGTTCGACCGGCTCAACGAACGCAAAGTCTCTGCCTCTTCAATCACGCTCCAACCCATCATGAGTTTACAGACAATGAAGCTTGTATACCAGCCCGATCCGGCGTCTCAGGATCTCATCTTCTCAGCATCTTCCCCGGTCCCGAAGTTGACTGATCCGGACGACCATCTCGTCCGTGTCAAGGCCGCCTCTCCATGTCGACATGAACTTCTCTGGGAGGCTACGGATACTCACCTTTTTGATAAAGGGCGCACGCCGCCCCGCGTCCCCTGTCCCGATGGCGCGGGCGTGATTGTCACTGCTCCTTCAGCCAATAGCCCCTTCCAGCCTGGCGATGAAGTCTTCTTTTCCATTGACTACACATCCAGAGCCGGCTGCTTGACTGAATATACGATCGTCAAGACGGGCGAGATGGCTCTGAAGCCCAAGACGTTTGACTGGCCTGCCGCTGCCGCTGCGCCTCTAAGTGCACTGACGGCATGGCAGGGCCTCTTCATACATGGAAACCTGGCCGTTCCGTCTCCCACATCTCAGGAGGAAAACGCTGGCAAGAGGTTTCTTGTAACGGGCGCGGCGGGATCTGTGGGGTCATGGGCTGTGCAGCTCGCGGCGGCGGCTGGGGCGACATCCATCACTGGAGTGTGCAGTGATTCCAAGCTCGAGCTGGCGAAATCCTTTGGAGCAACGGAGGTTCTATCTTACTCGTCTTTTTCTACCCCTTCATCAGACAAGTATGACCTTATTCTCGATACAGTCGGGGGCAATGCCCTCAGGGACTGCTGGTCGGTTATCAAGGCAGATTCTGGGGTTTTGTTGGCCGTCGGTTCAGACTACCCCGAGAATGTGAGGCCAGAGGGGGCTCCTAAGGTGGCCAAGAGCGAGTGGTATCTCGTGAAGCAATCAAGAGATGATTTGGAGGCTGTTGCTGCGTTGGTTGACCAGGGAAAATGCAGAGCAATGGTGGATAGTGAATACGCGATGGAAGACTACAAAGCCGCCTTTGAAAAACTTTCAGACGGGCGCCCAAATGGGAAAGTCGTTATCAATATATCTTAGAAATAGGCTTGGAAAATGTCTAATCAAGTAAGGAGAGAATGAAGAAATTTGATTTCTATACGATGTTGGGGTTTAAGACTTTTGGCACTCGGGCTCCGCATCCCTCCAACGACATGCAAAAGCTGAATACGAGGACATTTTCACCAATCATAGGCTAATAGGCATGCCATGTGCAATCTAGCTGAAATAGAGTCAGCTAAAGCATTAGTAGATTGCGTTGGACATGATACGTGGTTAGATATTCTCCGATTGATTGTTGGCAAGGAACTAGAGCAACCCGTCGTCTATCATCCTATTAATAGCCTGGGTTTCTTCGCCGGATCTCATAGTTCGAGTGAACAGGAAATGTTTTCAAGCTATGCGACAACATTTGATGCCTCGGATGATGAATGTCAGGTTCGCGGCTCATTGCAGGCATAGGCTTAGTAGATAGGCTAAGGTTTATAGAATAATGACCTTTCCTTTTGGCTATTATCGATCAGAAAGTAAATTAGAGATATAATAATTATTAAAAACAAGTAGTAAGTTATTATTGCACTTGAATTCTGGATTATGGCTTTGCCGGATGGCGAGGTTGCATATTGTCAGTCCACGGAATTTCCACGCTTTATCCATGGCGGTCCTGTCCCTGTCCACGGCAGTGCCATAGGATGCCTTGGTCAGTCTGAAAGCCCCGTGCGGAGTCCGAGTCAATGTGTACTGCTATGGATGAGACTTGGGTCTAACAATCCTGCCGTTTTCATGGACGTGCTGTGCTTCCCACGGCATTTCCGGTTGTTAATAAAAGCAAGATGGTCAACCCATCGGTTTCTACAGATAACATGGCAAATAGTCAGCTAAATGGCTTTGATTCACATCTAAGAACATCGTGAGAGCAAAATATGGACGGCATTAGCATCAACCTGGCTCAACAAGCCGACCCCAAAGGGGCGCCTAGCACTCTCCGGATCTACGGCAACGACACTTATCAGACAAAGTTTCGGCGATCTCGACCCATCGATGCCCCTCGTGCTCGATATACCGGATTCAAGAATGAGACCATAACTCTTAGATCGGGCACCATTCGTCGTGAGGGTGCGCTTGCTCTGACTTGCGACATTGTCTTCGAGCGTGATGTTGCCGTCACCCTTCGAGATGGAACCACCATCTACGCCGACATCTTTCGCCCCACAGGGGACGAGAAGGTCCCGGCAATCGTTGCCTGGAGCCCCTATGGCAAGCAGGTTGGTGGTATGTCCCTCGACGATGTTCCTCATCGCGTGGGTGTCCCGCTCAGTGCCACCTCTGGGCTGGAAAAGTTCCAAGGACCAGACCCAGCCTACTGGGTTGCCCAAGGATACGCCATCCTCCACCCCGACACTCGCGGTGCTTATGCCTCTGAAGGAAATGTCACCTTCTGGGGTCGTCAGCTGGCGGAGGATGGGTACGATTTCATCGAGTGGGCTGCCCAACAGTCTTGGAGCTCTGGGAAACTGGCCCTGTCTGGGAATTCATGGCTGGCCGTCTCGCAGTGGTACATTGCTGCAGAGCGCCCGCCTCACTTGGCTGCCATTGCCCCCTGGGAAGGGCTTGCGGACCCCTTCCGGGACATGGTGAACAGAGGCGGGATCCCCAACCTCGCGTCTACCGAGGCAGTAATTGCAACATGTATGGCCGGTAATACTTTTGTCGAGGATATGCCCCAAATGGCCATAGACCATCCAACGATAAACGAGTACTGGGAGGATAAAGTTGCTCGTCTCGACCGCATAACGGTTCCAGCGTACGTTGTCTCGAGTTACTCCAACCCGGTCCATACACGTGGTACACTTGCTGGCTTCCGATCCATCCGCTCAAAAGACAAATGGCTGAGAATCCATAACACGTTTGAGTCTCCCGACTATTACAACCCTGAGAATGTTAGGGATTTTAGAAAGTTCCTTGATTACTATCTGAAAGGGGACAAGAATGACTGGCAAGCCATTCCACGAGTAAGGCTGTCGATCCTTGACCCAGGACATGAAGACACTGTGAATCGTCCCGTGGAGGAATGGCCGGTCCCTGGATATCCTGTCGAGAAGTTCTACCTTCATGCAGACCAGACTCTGTCCAATGAACCTACGACTACAAGCAGTAACCTCTCATACGAGACCGAGACGGAGAACAGTCGTATTACTTTTACACATGCCTTCGAAAAGAAGTCTGAGGTGGTCGGATACATAAACCTTCACTTGTGGGTTGAAGCCATCGGCTCTGACGACATGGACCTCCTAGTCTTGGCCGAGAAGCGCGACAAGGATGGGAACGTGCTGCCAAACGCGGCTGGAGAGGCCTCGAGCACCACCGGACTCCTACGCGTCTCACACCGGGCATTGGATCCCGACCTCTCGACAGAGCTTGAGCCCCGGCTCACACACAAGAAAGAGGAACTCCTGTCGCCGGGGCAGATCGTCCGGGTAGAGATTGGGCTGTGGCCGACGGCGTTACGGTTCCACCCTGGCGAGCAGCTCGTGTTAACCGTCCAAGCGGCCCCCAAGGCGCCTACAAAGTTGGATCTGGGGTTTGGTGTTGCCAAGATCCCCGTTCCGGCTCGCGGCGGAACATTCAAGCCCGGCGAGAAGGTCGAGATTATTGAGCTCGGAGGCGGGATAGATTCGCAGCCGGAGTTTGTCAACGCACAGCGGGTTGAGACGCCGGCGAGCCGGAACAAGGGGACACACGTGTTTCATCTAGGTGGAGAGTATGAAAGTGTCTTGCTTGTGCCTCTGGCTGAAGTTTCGTGATGGGGCTTGTAGTCGATCAAAATCATGAAGCGGGATTTTCGTGTGTAAGCATAGAATATCTAACAACTGCCAGATTACTCTGCTCATCCATTTGTTGACGAATAGATTGAATTCCATTGTCGAATGCTGCGCCTTGAAGGCTACGATGAGCTTTGGCTTTAGGGCTTGTTGATAGCCGAGAACTGTGCCAACTTGAATCTTCTCGATTGTTGTAACTTGGAAGGAACACTATTATTAGCTGTAAGCATCCGTCATGTAGTTGTTATGGATATCGGAGACTCTGTTGTCTTTGTTTCCAGACGCCTATATATCTCAAGCGGTTCTTTCGAAGAATGAAGGTGGTAAGGTTTGAATTGTCGGATCTTGGTAGACTTAGCGTTCCTCATCGCTCTAGGTCTCAATATAAGTCAAGAGTTGTATTGGAAATGGCTGGGTTGTTTCGGAGAGACCATAAACAGATAGATGGCTTAGACTGTCTCCTCCTTCTCCGAGCTGGAACCTTAGGTTTGTTGGAAATCAAGTTCCCAACGTTAATACTTCGGCTTACAAGTCTCAACGTCATGTTGTATAATCGCGGTCGCTCGAAGGAGGAGCATGGAAGTGTGCCTGGAACTGAGTGTCATAAAGGGGGATAGAGTTTCAAGGTTTCGTCAACGAAAGTGGATATGAGGTTTCGCCTACCTATACAGTTCGGTACGTGAGCGGTCACAGGCATGATATAGGTTTAGTTTGATAAACAGAGGATTATGCATGTTGAGAAGCGGTTTGGCTCTTGGGGTTGGTTCCAGTCAGTAGAGTTACTTCAGTCCGGTCGGCCGGTCTAGCTACTGGTAGCTAAGACATGTCCCATCATATAACGGGGAAACGGATCTTCATCCTGCCATCCCTTCTGGTTCGGTCCGCTGGTCGGTCGCTCGAGGGATCGGTTTGTCGGTGCTGGCGGTGGAGGGGCGGCGGCGAGCTGGGACCGAAGGCCTACGGCAAGCCCCCGCAATTCCCGGCCCCAGATGGACGACAATTCGGGCGCTAGACTATCGCAGAGGCGGAGGACTATCGCGCAAAAGCTGAGGTTGCTTTCGCTGCAGTTTTTGGGCGGATAAATGCGACTTTGTGCGTTGAGATGGCAGATGGCTGCTGGACACCTTGATGGACGGCCAGTTTCGTTTCTGGCCTGAGTCTGGTACTTGTGAGAACCTTGATGGTTCCGTCTGCGCACCTTGATGGTTTCCAGCGCCCGCGAAACCGCTTCTCATTCGCTGAGCGTCTGTTATCTTCTGGCACCATCTCCGCCGTCGAGGTGCCTCATGTCGCAGCCGGCCTCACATTCATGAGGACGAGGAGGCGGTTGCGTGCGCGCAAGCCTGCATTATGTAGGATGCATCTATGTATGTATGTCTGTCTATCTGGCTGTCTGTCAGATGCAAAGCGACGCCGATCCAGCAGTATAAAGGGTGGACGGCTCCCCGCCATCTGTCCTCTTCGTTCCCAGCTCTCTCGCCAGTCTGACCGCTCTCTCCATCGTCCCATATCTGCGCTCTGGCCAGCCCTCTTCTCCCCTAGCACTTGGTTTCTGTTGCCCTCACAGTGAGTTTAGATTTGTCTTCGCGCACATCTCTTGTGCTGAGTCCTTTGCATGATTTTTCCTAGAAACTCTGGCTATGGCATAACCCCTTTTGCCCGCAGATTTCTGCTCCTTTCTCTCTCTCTCTGCCTTTATCCCTCACCCGCCACTGGCTCCTCTCCCAACACAACACAGACACACAACCCCCCATCCTCATTCGGTGCCCCGTGGGACCTCGCTCACCAATGGCAACCTCTCCTACAGTGAGGCTGCTGTTGGCTGATCACCCCCTCTTTTTCGGCTAACGAAGGTTGGAGTTGGGCTCATTTCTCACAAACAGAACCGCCGCCCCCATTCGTCATCGCTCGTCACCGGTCGGTTCCCCTCAAACTGCCAACGCATAGCTCTGCTCCTTATCTTCGTTTCTGTTGGTTCGTACCGCCTGACCTATCTCATTATCTTATGGCATTACTCCTCGACCACTCAGTCCCCAGACGGCCAGACGCCTTGATGCACGCACACACACCCACCCACTCGTGCATCACGCTACTGCTAGGACCATCCTTTCCGCCTCAGGGACGGCGAGCCCGACTTCCCACTTCCGATATGCGCGCTTTTCCATCCATCCTGGAGGACTCCAGGGACGGCCCCTTCCTCGGCCGTGCCAGTTCTAGTTTCGCATGAAAAGACTTTCCTGTCTGCGGCCTCCTCCACTCTGTCGCTGCAGAATCAACACGGAATTTCCCATCCCTGCCTTGGCCCCCATTTTGCTCTGCTCCATTCGTACATACATGTCTCGCCAAGTATCAGCACAAATGCCTCGTTTCTAATGGTGTCCATCGGCCCATCCCGCTCTGGCATCCCGTCTCTGCCTTTATTGACCCCATATACTTCACACCTCACCCAGTCCCCCATGCAACTCCAACTAGTGTGTCACGGGGATGTGATCTATCGCCTACTTGGGCTCTAGCTCACGCCATCCCACGAGATGAGGTCACAAGGCCATGAGCTGGCAGTATCGCGTTCCGTCTACGAACCCGACTGATCCGCCCTCGGTATCCCTGATCTTACGTAAATTACCGACTTGAAACGGCTCTAGTATGAAATGCAGAGTTGCCTGCCATCATCACATTGTGGTTCCATTTTGCTGGGAGTGAGTATCAATAATAGCTCGTCAAGTAAAGCACTGTGAAGCCCAGCCCTGTTTCTGATGACTGATGCTTCCTACGGCCAGTCCTGGGTTATTCCTAGGGGAAAAACAAGCCAAAATATTACTGGTTAAAGAAATACGACTCAAAAGGCCCCGGCTGAGCCCATTGCCCCATCTTGGCGAGAGGTAAGCTTGCTAACACTATCATATTCTTGGCGTATTGACGCGTGCTCTGCCCTACCCTCTCGCTAGGCGCTGATGCCTTTTCCTTTCCCGTCGAGTAGAGTGCCACACCCAAACTGAAACTGTGCCGAGTAAGCACTGCATACATCTCGACCGATGGCGCTATCTCGTGGGAGTCCAATGACGGAGACCAAGATCGATAAGGACTCGGCATCCTGTTGATCTGCTTCACTGTGCATGACCTCCTGACACACTGCAACAGATCCATGCCAGCTCCGTGGCCCATCTTCTAGACCTATTGTGGCATGTTCTCAGCCTTCCAGCCAACCATTGGCGGCGAGTCCATAAGTCAGCATGACCACCTCTTGGGGAGGGAGACGGATGGCTGTCTTATCCTAGTCCTGCAAGCCGCTGGTGGAGCTGCACCTGCGGCTTTCCCTCTTTGAAGCTCCAGCTAGCTGTTCTATTTAGGTAGTTGGAATGATTGATTCCACGAGGGCCCCCACAGTCCAGGCAAGAGGTGGTATTACTGCAACCTCGCTCTGGCCTGGCTGCATGCCTTCGCGTCCAAGCTTCTTGGGTACAGTTTGCCGTTTCGTATTGTACACAGTGGTTGCTCCCCTTGAGCCGACTCTCCTGAACTCGATCGCTGTTTAGGCGCTCATCTCCATAGAAACAGCAAAACTCCTGTCATACTGTCAACTGATCTTCCCTTTCCGGGTAACCACGCCGCAGCACCCCGAGGGAACCTTCCCCTCACCCCTCGCGCCCTCTAGCGAACGAGACTTGCATGTGAAGCACACCGGTCCTGATCTTGGCCAATTACATCTCCCAACGCGCGGGGGTCCGGTTCCAGGTGGTGGTTCATTGGACAGGTTACCACACCACCAAGAATTTAAGAAATGCATACCAAGATGGTATTTCCGTCCATAGCAGAATGCAGAATCGAGAGCATCTTATGACGAAGGCTCTTCTCTTCCTACGTGAAATATGTACATCTATAGACATGTCGCGCATGCATGCAGCAAGACCGTTCGGGCAATCGGCTGGAGGCCCACACACAAGGATCAGCCCGAGTCCTAGAGAATGCCCGGGTTCACAGTCTACTGCGACGGAAAGGAGCTAGAGGGTGGGTAGGCGAGGGAAGGAAAGGGAGGGGCGATCAGGTGGCGTGGTACTCTGAACACCTGATGGGGGTACACATAGTTCCAGCTCTCAGCTCGATGTAGACCTGAGAACGAGAATCAGAGCTTCGTGTTGGATATAAAAGGCCTCGAGTTTCCTTCCTTTCCATTTCCGATTCCTTCCCTCTTCAACCCAGCCAGCTTCAGAACAACTCACTACCAACAACTACAACAACCGTTTCCCACTAGCTTTACCAGCAACCCAATCTTGACAATGTCTCCCTGGTAAATCTTACCTGCCTACCTTCCTGTTGCCACTGCCTTAGTACCTCGTCTTCACTCCAAGTCGTAATAGCTTGGATCTGAGATCAAGAGCAACAGTACCTCACCTACCACTCTCACGACCAGTCTCGCTGATATTTGTGATACTGCTAGCAACTGCAACACTTGCGCCTGCTCCGGCAACTGCAACTCGTGCGCTTGCACCACCTGCAACGTAAGTTCCCTAGACCCTGTCGTCCTCCCCCCACGCTCCATCTAGCTGGAGTAGAAAGCTAACCTGTGAAATCCAGCACTAAACATGCCCTTTGCACATGCACCCAACCCGCCCATGGAAGCTTGCCGTGAGGCCCCGTGGGAGGAGGTGAATCGACCCAGAGACTGGTACCCAGGCTCTGCATCCCCCTACTTTCCCACGGCCATGGTATCTGCATGAACTACAACAAAAGACAAAAAAAAAAACGGGTCTGGAGTGATTTGATCTGGGGTTTCTTTGAGTGGGCAGAGAGGTAGATGGGTACTTTTGAGAGCTTGGGACGAGATAGCCCGGTGTCCAGCTACATAGCCTTATGGAGAAATAGACCTCTGTCTAGCAGATTTATCAAGGATTTTATTTTTTCTCGAGCTGAATGAAATAAGAACATGAGATATCGTGAATATGTGAAGTAGATTCTTGTGCAAATTCGCTGCTGGTCAGCGCTAA